TCAGCGTTTACAGTTGTCCTATTGTGTCCTTTTATGTGTGTACTGCTTACTCTCAATTACCTGATCCGTCTGTCCTCGATGCTAAACGTATTATTTTTAATTTCAGGGGCATCAGCCAGTATTTTACACGCAATATAGAAGCACATATTCTCACGCAGAAATTATAAATTCACGGCGAAAATGGAAAATGAAAAACCAAAAACTCAAATTTATCGAGCTCAAAATGGAAAGACCTGTAGAAAGAATCGATCGACAAGTATTTAAAAAAAATCGCCTGCTAAATCGATTCGAAATGAAGAGTATCATTCAGCAAAGAAATTGAAGGCTGACCAAGATATCGATATAGCGGTTGATGCGAGTTTCAAGAATTGAATTTTAAAATTTTGTCACCGTTTTTTCTGCTATTAGTAACGTTCTAAAGTACAAGACAAGCAACAATGATGTGAAGTTCATAGAATCAAGCGTTCGTGGATTCGATTTTAAATTAGTGATTTCGTGTGACTCTTACGAAACAACTAGTATTAATTTTATTTCTCTCATAAAAAATAAAGCTTATAGCATAAACATACTTTAGGATTCTGACTGCTAAGAACTGGTTTACGAGGAAAAGAAAAATTTTGTGAAATCAAGGATTTACCGAAAGCAATGTTTTACTATACCGTCATTGAATTCGAGTATCGACAGATATTGCAGAGATCCAAGAACAACAGAACACGAAAGACGTTCGCCAAACTCGCAGATCATCTCAGAAAGGATTCTAAGATACTCATTCTGCTGCTGAAAAACTATTATATGCGTCTATTATATGGGCTGAAGGAATGTTATAGAAATCGTTGATTAAAAGTGAGCAAAAAAAATCATTTTATCATACAAATAACTGGACACTTATATTTGCATTTTTCTCGAAACTATGTTTTTCGACCTAATTATAACGAGATTTTGAAACTATCGGACTGATTGACTTGAAATTTGGACACAATACTGTCAGGTACATTATTTATAAAGTATGATTCTCGCGATAAGTTAATTAGTTGTTTTAATATTTATTTTCTTGTTGTCAAACTTTTGTGTAAATAAAGTATAAAATACTACTCAATATGACAAAAAATGTGATAGAAGAATCATTGTCTCAAGATAGTAGTGATGGTAAATTTATTAAGGACGGATATGAAAGTAATTGTTTCGTGCGATCAAGCGGTGATTCTGATGATAATGACAATATTTCACTAGTAAAAGAAGAAAAGAAAAATATTGCAAAACACTGTTTTGTCTGTTTAGCCAAAGAGACTAAAAAACAATCCTTTTATTTGTGAGAAACATGCGATCGTCAGCCAGATTTGCATCGTCCTCATTGCTTTAAACGGTACATAGACTTAAATATTACAAATATTTTATAATTCAAATTTTCATTTATATGTGAAATGTTCACATTATGATAATAAAATAACGTTAAAATATATTGTTTTTTAAATTTTATGTAGAAATTTTGTGGTCTAATAAATCACATATAAAGCCAGACATAGTCAAAAAAAGGCCGAATTGCTGAAAGATTTAGATGAGGTAAAGTTCAAGCGCAAAAGTTTTGTAGGAACTATGTCTCCCACTCTTGCCAGTCATATATGAAAAACTTAATAATTATTATTATTATTATTATTATTATTATTATTTCCCCAAGAGGAGGATTGGAGCGTTCCTTTCCTTTCGACAAGTAGCAGCGTCGGCGCCCGAGCTACGAGGAGTACAACCTCCCTAAAAAAACCAGGACTCATCTGGCCCGGATGACAGCACCCTGTAAGGGCCCAAAGCCAGGGTTACGGCAGGACCATGAGGACTAGCGGGTACGTTGACGCTGCCCGAAAGGGATATGCGGAATGATACATAAAGCGCGGTTCTCGTGGAAAACACCCGGCGTCAACGCATTGCACCCACGGGAGTGTCAGGAAGCCGATGAAGGAAGTAGGTGAACGGCAAGGGCGGATGCTGAAAGCATTTATAGCCAATAGCTTTCGCAACAATAGGGGTAGTTGCGAGGGTGATCACCCCCCCACTTACGGAGGCACCGCGTTCGGAGACGGCCAGGCACTCTGGAGGGAAAAAATTAAAACACATGGAAAATAAACACATAAAAAAACTAAACATACCCAATCAAATAAACACTAAGCAACAAAATACCCCAGAATCACCTGAAAAAAACATCGCTGCTCAATGCAACAAAAGCGTAGGCTCTCAGCCTGCGAAGGGAACACCACAAGATAGAGAGAAAGAAGAACTAGCGAAAGCGAAAGTCCTGGCAAATATGAAGGCCGCTGTGAATGTAAACAATGCGATTAAACAAGGGCTCCCAGAACTGGAGGAAATAATCGATAGCCTCGAGTTCTTGTATAAATCTAGAAAAAAGATAGAGGGAGCGAGGATCCCCGCCCGAGTCGCTCAGCGGCCTCGTGCTAACTCTGTAACTGATGCTAGCACAGCTAAGAGAGTAGCCACAAGCCCGCCGGAGTTTTCTGAAGAAAGCCTCAAAAGATCGAGGCAAGAGGCGACAACTACCGAAGTCACCAAGTGGACGGAGGTCGCTAAGAATAACCAAAAGAACAAAAGAAAAACCAGGGAAGACGGCAACGAAATCCCCACCGCAGGAGAAAAGTAAGAAGAGCAAAGCGGAGGACAGGCCAAGAAGAAGAACGAGGCCGGACGAGATCCTCCTCAACGCCGCGCAAGGTAAAACCTATGCAGACGTAGTCGGAGCTATCCACCAGCGCATCAAGACTAGCGCTGCAGGGGTAGACGTCAAATCGGCCCGGCTGACAAGAAAGGGAGGTATTCTTCTCGAGCTTAAGAGGACTACTGCGGAAATCAGGGACTCTTTCACAGAAACCCTGAGGAAAGAAGTGGAGCAATTGAGCAGCATCAGAGAACTGGTGCCCAGAGCTACGCTGGAGATAAGGAACTGCGATTGCTGCACATCGGTAGCAGAAGTAGAGGCGACGAATTGGGCACCGTGGCCATCTGGATCTCAGACCCCCGTCAGATACATGTGTCGGATCAAGGATACGGACGCGGTTATGTTTGGGTGAGACATAATTCGATGACCTATGTCAGCGTATATCTCACCCCGAACGACCGGATAGACGACTTCCAGACCAAACTGGACGATCTGGAAGACGCGCTGCGGGAAATGCAAGGGAATCTCATTGTAGCTGGAGACGTCAATGTCAAAGCTCTCGAAGGGGGGAGGCCAGGCCGTACTCCAGAGGAAGATGAATCATGGAGGTGTTGTTGAGACTGGAGCTAGCAGTGCTGAATACAGGCTCGACGTCAACCTTCCGAAGGCCTGGCTACACAGAGACGATCCCAAACGTCTCTCTAGCCAACGAACATCTTGTGGCAAGAATCGCTGGCTGGCGGGTGATCGAAGATTACACCGAGAGCAATCACCAGTACATTTTATTCGACGTACACGATAGGAGGCCAGCCATGACAAGTGCAGCCCGACCACCCCGGTGGACTATCGCAAAAATGGATCGAGAGAAGCTGTCTTCAGTAATAGATGAAAAGGTTGGAGATTCCATCAAATTGCAGTCGCGAGTCTATCGCCAACTGTACAAGCCCGGATGATTACTGCAACTATGCAGCACATCCAAAAAGTTTGCGCGATAGCGGTGCCAAAGAAGAGCACGAAACCGCAGAGGAGTCCTGCATATTGGTGGACGAACGAGATCGCAAAATGTGCGTAAGGCTTTACGGTTAGAACAACGAGCGAAGAGACGCGAACTCGGCGTTGCTGCCTTGGCCGCAGAGTATCAAGCGGCCAAAAAAGTATTGAAGAGGACCATCAAAGTCAGTCAACGACGGTGCTAGAACGAGCTGTGCCTGGAAATAGACCAAAATCTATGAGGATTAGGGTACCAGATCGTCACACGCAAGCTGGCGACTCGAACGCAAGGAATCCCTCAGTACGCGAGGACGTTGGAATACATAGTGCATACTCTATTCCCCTCACAGCTGAAGAGAGATTAGCACGGCTGCGCCTGACATAACCGATGCGCCACAATTTACGGAAGAAGAGCTACTCAGGGTCGCATCTTCTATGCGGAACAAGAAAGCTCCAGGTCCAAACGGACTTTCAGCGAAAGTAATTAAATCTGTTGCGCAGAGTCAACCTGAGCTCTTGCTAAACATGTATAACATGTGCCTCAGGGGGGCATCTTCCTCGCCCCGTGGAAGAAAGCAAGACTTGTGCTCATTAGCAAGAACAAGGGTCCAGCAGTTGCCGCTTCGTCGTTCAGGACTATATTTATGCTGGATACGGCAGGCAAGCTCCTGGAGAAGCTGCTTAGGCCACGGCTGCTCGCGGCCGTAAGGGCAGCGGGCGATCTTACTGCCCGTCAGTATGGATTTCGATCCGGCCTCTCCACCATCCACGCAGTCCAGGAGGTTCTCGCTAAAATAACGGAGCGCGGGAATCACCGATCCCGCCCTTTGTGTTTGCTAGCCACTTTAGACGTGAGAAATGCCTTCAACTCCGTCAGGTTGGACTTGGCAATGGAAGCGCTAGAACGTAACTTCATTGTTCCGGAGTACCTGCTCCGAATACTCGGGGACTATCTGAACGAGCGCTTCCTAGAATACAGTACTGGCGATGGTCCAAGAAGCTTGGAGTTGACATCGGGGGCAGCCCAGGGCTCCATATTGGGACCGGATAACCGGAATATTTTCTACGACGGTATCCTACGTATGGCAGTCCCCGAAGGTGCTTTTTTGGTTGGGTACGCAGATGTCATTGCAGTTATCATAACTGCAAGAGACACGCAGGAGGCACAGCTGCTGCTCAACCAGATTATGCGCAGAGTCATCTCCTGGATGGAAGAACACGGGCTATCCTTAGCAGCCCACAAAACAGAAATCGTGCTATTAACGAAGAAGCGCATTAACACCTTGCGCAGCTTCACCTAGGAGACGCGGCGGTCCAGACTAAGTCGGCTGTTAAATATCTTGGTGTAATGCTTGACAACAAGCTTAATTATAGAGAGCACATAATCAAGGCAGCCAACAAGGCGGCAAAAGTAGTAGCCCCGCTGGGAACACTCATGGCCAATGTCAACGGTCCCAGGCCGTGCATGAGGAGACTACTGATGCGTGCCGCCGAAGCAGTGATGCTGTACGGTGCGGAAGTATGGGCCGAGGCGCAGCGAAAAGAGAAATATCGTAAGCGTATAGCCGCGGTACAGAGGAGGGGCGCCCTCTGAATCGCGTGCTCCTACCGCACGATCTCAGAGCCCGCAGTGCTAGTTGTCGATCGATCTACCAGCCAAGGAGAGACAATTTGTCGATCAGCAGAAGGCCGTTCTGGGGAAGGAGGAGGCATCAAAGAACGCCAGGTCTAACAGCATCGAGGCCTGGCAAAGCAGATGGGAGCAGGAGCCTAGGAGCACATGGACTGCACGACACATCAGTCGATTAGACAACTGGATAAACCGCGAGGCGGGAGATGTCGATTTCTACCTCACCCAATTCTTGACAGGGCATGGCCTGTTCTGCTCCTACCTCGCAAAAATGAGGAAGGTAGCAAACGGCAACTGCCCCTATGGGGACTCAATCAACGACGACGACCACCACACGTTCTTCATATGTACCCGGTGGAGCGCCGAACGATTCGCTTTGGAGCAGGACCTCGGAGACATTTCCCCCGCAGTATTCCCTGCCTGTCGTAAGAGGCGACTAAAAGAGACTGTATGAATGATGTATGAATGTTCTTGTATGGTTGTCTCTATCTTTGCTCTTCTGCCATATCTTTTTCTACTCTTTCTATCTCTCTTTGGCTTCCTTCCGTTCCTTTCCTTTCCTTTGGGAGCCTGGCTGTCAGTAATGATTTGTTCTAAACATGGATAGTACGACTAACGAAATAAGCGGCCATGGGAGGGATACCCATGCCACGACGGTATCAGGTGGTGGTAGGCCAACCGCTGTCGTCAACCAACGACTGCCAGGAGCTCGGGGTAGGCAACCTGGCCCCAGCTTTGGATAATGCGTCAGGAAGGGCACCACAGGTAGGCGACTTGGCTTGCGGTGTATCTAATGCGCCAGGAAGTGTAGGAAGGGAAGAGTGCCACTTGGAGGAGTGGCAAAAGGTTGCCAGGTGCCGTTGAGGGCATGGGGTTGTCCGGCCTGACGATAACAAAACAAGGGAGGAAGAATAAACGTGCGAGGCCCGTGGTTTACATGTTTGAGGAGGATGAATCGGGGGTAGACTGGCCCGTGCTGGGTGAAAGAGGACCGGCGGAGACCCCTGCCTTGTCTCAGGTGGAGACTGGTAGGGTGATCGACACACTGAAGGAAGCCTCCATCGAAGCCGAAAGCGCCAGGCTGAAATGCCGGAACCTGAAGGGAGATATCTCGGGGGTCATGAAGAGAACCCATAGAAAAATTATGGAGGGGCTCAAGACCCTAAGAGTTAGGCTCCAAACCCGGGGAGATGATCCTCCGTCGGCGAAGGAGACAATTGTGCAGCTGAAGGCTGAACTGAGAGTCATGGAGCTGCGCAATAAGGAAATCTCGGAGGAGAACATCCGCCGCAAAAGGGTAATTAGGAGGATGGAGACTCTCTTGGCTGCCAAAACCAAGGACCCCGGACGCAAGCCATTCAGATGGGTCGGTGAAGGCACTGGCGGAGGCTTTCCGCAGGGTACAGCAACAGCTGCAGCAAGTGCAGCAACAGCTGCAGCAAGTACTGCAACAGCTGCACCAACAGCAGCAGCGGCAACAGCAGCAGCGTCAGCAGCAGCCGCAGAGACAACAGCAGCAGCAGCAACAACAGCGACATCAGACGTTGAGTGGAGCAGCGACTGGGGCTAGTGGACCACGCAAGGGCCCCACACTCCGTGCTGAGTCCACTAGACCTCCTAAGAAGCAGGTAAGTGTAGGTAAGACACTAACCCCGCAGGATGATTTTGTGCAGGTGCTTGGCCGAAAGAGGAGACGGGTCCAGAGAAGCAAATGCACTCTCCCTGGCTACATCAAAGGATGAAGTCAACGACCCTCAACCCTTGCGGGGACAGGCACCCCCTAGGAAAAGAAGGAAGAGGAGGAGCGTTGCGCAACGAAGGAAGAAGAAGATGCAAAGGGAAAGAGAAGTTGCTGCAATTCCTCTATCCTGTACCGAGGAGACGACGTACAGAGATGCACTCGTGCGGGCCACGGAAGGGATCAACTTGAAGGACCTGGGAATCGGCACCATGTCTTGCAGGAGAGGACTCACAGGTGCCTTTATATGGCAGGTACGAGGCAAAGGTGCAAATGCGAAGGCCGACCGGGTGGCGGAGGCCTTGAGGAATGCCGTCCCAGGGGCAAAAATCACCCGCCCCCTGCGTACGAGCACCATAAGGTTGGTGGGACTGGACGCGTACGCCAATGGTACCGTCATAAGGAACGCACTTCTGGAGGTGCGGTCTGGAACGGACCCCATCCTCATTTAGGTTGGAGAGATCAGGATTGGCAGGGGCAGACTAGGTGAGGCCACTGTCACGGCTCCGATGCCTGTTATAAGAGCGGCCCTGGAAAGGGGCAGAATAGACGTGGGACTCACAAAAGTGAGGGTGCACGAACTTAGGCAGCGGCCCCTCATATGCTACCGGTGCCTTGCGTGAGGACATGTCGTGGCAACGTGCCCGGCCACAAAGTCCAAGACAGACTTGTGCTACGTTTGTGGGAAGCCGGGCCACGTGCCAAATCATGTACGAACAAAGTGGCGTGCCCGGTTTGCACAGATGCTGGCCGGAAGCAGACCAACCACCGAGCCAGTTCCTGGGAGTGCCCGGTTGTGCCTCCCAAGAAATGGGTGGACAAGGTGTTCGTGAGGGCACCAAATGTTGGCCCGGAAACAACGACAAACCGAAAAACTGCAGAGACAGTGAAAGCGACCCAGAGGAGAAGTATACAGGATGACATGAAGGTGGAACAAGGGGTACCGGGCACCTCAATAGGGGTAGAAACAGCGGAGAGTCCATAGACAATGTTCTCTGCTGTTCTACAAATTAACATGAACCACGCGCGCCGTGCACAGGACTTACTGGCACAGCGCATGCGCGAGGACAGAGTGGAGCTGGCGATCATTGCGGAACCTTGGTGGGTTCCTCCTTGGGGAATGAGAGGTGATCTCATCCCTAGGAGGGACTTCACTCTCCGCGGTGCTTGTGGGCGAAAGTAGAAGACCTTGTAGCCTGGTGCGTCGGGGCCTTTTCTATGTAGCCGTTAAATGGGGGGACTCGCTGGTAGTTTCCGTATACTTTCCTCCCAGCGAGAACATGATTATGTTTAGTAGACTCCTTGATAAGCTTGAAGAGCTCTTAGAAACATTCCCCGCTTTCCCAGCGCTGGTGGCTGGCGATTTTAATGCCCGGTCCAGCAGATGGGACCCAGAAGGCAAGAGTAACCGGAGGGGTGAGTTGCTCTGTGCCTGGCCCAATAGAGTAGATCTGGGTCTGCTGAACCGGGTTGGCTGTCCCACGTGCGTTCGACCACAGGGGTCGAGCGTTATAGATCTAACGTGGGGCACGTCAGCGGCTGGCGTCCGCCTCTTGGACTGGAGAGTGGATGAGGCTGAGTCCCTGTCGGACCACCTATATATCAGGTATAGTTACAGGCACGAAGCTTCAGTGATCCGAAACTCTCGCCCGCAGGATAAAAAGCTTCCTCGCTGGAAGGTTAACTACCTGGATGAGGACTACTTGGCTGCGGCCCTCATCTCAGGGGAGTGGACGGGTGGAATTAGATGCGGGAGAAGTGCGATCGGTGCGGACTGTGTGGACAAGATGGTGAAGTGGGCACAATCTACACTGAAGCAAGCGTGCGACACGGCCATGTCCCGGGTAAGAAGACAAACCCGCGGTAGGAAAAGTACTTACTGGTGGTCGGACGAATTAACGAACCTTAAGGCCGTTGCGACGGCTACAGTAAGGAAACTTTCCAGGGCCAGGAAAAAGACGAACAGTGAGGAAATAGTGCGGTGCCTGGACGCTCGAAGGGACGCAAGGAAGGCACTGACTAGGGCTATTAAAGTAGCCAAGAGGAACTTATGGAGGGACCTGCTGGACTCCCTAGAGGAGGATCCATGGGGCAGACCCTACAGACTGGTCTTGGGGAAACTAAGGCCTTATGCCCCACCAGTAACCGAAACCATGGAGGAGGAGGTACTAGATAAAATCTTCTGAGTTATTCCCAGGAGGACCGGGAGTTGACGAGCCGCAGGAACCTACGCTTTCGGAGGTAACTATCTCTGAGGAGGTCTTGGCTGCTGCCCGGAAAGGAAAAGGAAGAAAGGCTCTTGGACTGGATGGAATACCGGGTGTGGTTGTGCTTGCTGCGTCGATACACTGTGGGAAAAAATTGGCGCAATGCTTTTCCGCATGCCTCAGTACAGGAAAGTTCCCGACAGCGTGGAAGATAGCGAGGCTCGTCCTTATCAAAAAGAAAAGGGACGTTCCCCCCGGACTCACCGGGATCATATAGACCCATATGCGTGATTGGCGAACTGGGGAAACTATTCGAGTGGATAGTTGTTGGCCGGATCAACAACTATTTAGAGGAGACTTGTACCCTGTCGTCATCACAATATGGGTTAAGGCCGGGAAGATCCACTGTGGATGCCGTCCTCGATGTTGAAAACTTCGTGGAGGCATCGACGCGGATCGGGAAGGTGGTTATCCTGGTGAGTCTGGATGTCTCGGACGCCTTCAACTCTTTGCCGTGGTCTGTGATCGTTAGGGCGATGGAGCGTGAAAAATTTCCACGTTACCTGGTGAACATTAGCTACCTGGACAAACGCGCCATAGCATATACGGACAAGTATGGACGCGTCGTGGAAAGACACGTGTATTGTGGGCTCCCACAGGGATTCGTTTTGGGCCCTACGTTGTGGAACATTGCTTATGACAGTGTCCTCCGAATCCCGATGCCAGGTGGCTCCCATGTCGTCTGCTATGCGGACGACACGGCCCTCCTGTCATCGGGATGAGACCTGTCTCAGGCCATGATGAACGCCGAACGGGACCTGGAAGTCCTGGTAAGGGAGATCGAGGGATTGGACCTTAAAGTGGCGCCACAAAAGACGGAGGACATGGCCTTCCCTGCCTCTGCCTTCTGCAGACGCAGGAATGTCCCACCTCCTAAGATTTGCCTTAGAGGGGATTCACGTAGAGGTCAGAACCAGTGTGAAATACCTGAGCATTCTGGTAGACTCAAAGATGTCGTTCAGGCCCCACTTTGAGGCCGTAATTCCTAAAGCCGAGGGTATCTTTCGGTACCTTAGAAGGATCCTTCCGAACCTTCACGGACCGGGGGAGAGGAAGCGGCGCCTCTATGACGGCGTGATCCACTCGGTGCTTCTATATAGGGCACCGGTGTGGTGGCGCGCCATTGTGGAGGATACGCGGATCGGGCGGGCTGTTCGGAGCCTCCAAAGGAAGGTGGCGATCCGGGTGTGTTGTGCCTATAGGACGATCTCCTTCCATGCGGCTATGATGATCGCGGGGATTATTCCTCTCGGTCATTTAGCACCCCAGCTGGCGGAAACGTATGCGGCTGTTAGAGGCACGGAGGAACCTGTTCCCCCGCGTGCTAAGACTGTATTGGGTGCTCTTGCCAGAAGGAGGGCAATAGAAGCATGGAAGGCTGAGGAACTAGAGCTTGTAGGGTCCCCAGAGGCAACGGGAGTGCGCACGAGGGCGGCCATTGCCGAATGG